GTGCTCCGCAACAGGAGAGGCCGCAACAGTGAGAGGCCCGCGTACCGCAAAAAAAAAAAAAAGGGTAGGGGGATTTAATAAGGGTAGCTCTGCAGACATCCAACAAGGATGAGAGTTGAAAGCGGCAGCGATGGGGTAGGAACATTTTTCCTTGGAGGCAAAAAGATAGGAAATGGGGAGAAATTTTGAGAAGAAAACTTTTAGGAGGTCTCCTTTGAATCTCTGTGATTTGATATTAGAGCCCCCAGTAGATATTTACTGGTGCCAACAGCTGGCCAATGGGTGTGTGTAGAGTCCATTCTTTTTCAGTACTGTCCTGAAAGGGTAAAGAAGTCTACTGTGTGCTGGGCACTGTTCTAGGTGTACTTACATCTGTATCCATATTTATTTGATTTGTGAGGTGAGGTGGGTGTTCTATCACTGTTTCAGACAAGGGAACTGAAGAGCAGGTTGCTTCCCTTTTTCTGTTTGGTGCAGTCTGATCATATTTTTTACCTGTCGATTGACTGACTGGACTGTTAAGGGTGACACCTTTGCCCTGAGGTTCTACTTGAGTCAGACTTCTGCCTTTCCTCTCTGAGCACAGAGTCACAGCTCAGTTTCCATTAAGCAAAACCTACAGACCACCCTTGCCCTGCAAGAACCAGTGTGGGGAGCCAGGGGAGGCTGTGGAACTTGTCCAGTCCAGCCCCTCTTTATACAGCAGGAAGCCAAGGCCTTGGGGAGGTAATGTCCAGGTCTCAGAGCTGGTTAAGAGGCAGAATGGGGCTTCAGCCCACAACTGCTTTTCCAGCCATTGTCACACCGAACCGAGTTGCCTACCTTCCACGTCAGATGGAGAGTGACTTAGGAGACAGGACCACATCTGGAGTTACACTTGGGCTCCTGGCTGACCCTCAGAGTCAATTTGACCTTATCCTATATGACTCCGGGTGTAAGTGGGATGACCTGAAGGGATATTCTGTTCTCTTGCGCTTCTCTTCCCCAAGAGAGCTGGAGGCTGCCTAGTTCCAGGAGTCATGTGGGCAAGAGTGCTCTGCATTCTTGCAGCCCTCACGTTTTCCAGAATCTGGCTTGACCTTCTCCCCAACTGCCCTTAACACTAGCCTAGACTGATTCATCTTGGTTCTAGCAGTCCCAAGTGCATATTTTAAGTTTGTGGGTGTGTGTAGCTTTAATATTTAATTGAATTGAGCTCAGCTCATCTTTAATGAATTCTCCCAGTAACTACTTCTGCCCCACCTGATCCATGCTGAACATGTTCCTAGGCTTCATAGGTCATTGCTACCTCTGGTTAATTTTCTGATATGAGAATATTCAGCTGGGGCACATTCTCTGCGGTAGAGCCTTGCTGGAGTATCGTTCTCTTGACCCTTAGCACGTTAGAGTTGGTATAGCAACTCGGAGACAGGCAGGCTGAGCTCCTTACCTTAGAGACAAGGAAATTCAGACAGTTGAGATTTTCTTATTTGAGGCCACACAGCTAACTGGAGACAGAGCCTGGGCCAGGATCAGGGCTTTTCCCTGCAGCCTCTGCGTGTGCCGCTTGTGCCCTCAGCGCCTCCTGCTATAGAGTCGGCCCCCGCAGGGCCGAGAAACATCTCTTGTTCCATTGGGAACAAGCAAGGGATTGCTGTTCTTTCGCAAGTTGCCATTGATTTGAATGTCACTTTATCCTCTATGAGCAATCCACAAATGAACAAGGAAGGAGTTTTGATTGAGGAGGAGATAACAGTTACACTTGGCACTGTCTTGTCATCAGCTGTGGATGCTGTCATTGCACTTTGGGGTTTGTGTTGCTTCATGCATGCAGTTTGAGGCTGTCCTTCCCCCGAGGCCCTCACTGCCTTGTAGAATCACCACCCTTAAATGCCTTTGCAGTAGGTGTCAGCAGGATTCTTAGGTAGGACTCTTAGGTTGAATAGTTCATTTGGTTTGCTTTAGTCTCGAGTGCCACCAGCTCTAAACATTAAACAGTCATGTTGGAAAAAGAATACTAAAACAGGTGATTTTCTTGCATAGTGTTTATACCTATTAAGACTGAGCACAGGTCTCTGTTTTCTGTATGAGCTCAGCAGTTTCTTGGTGCTTTTTGCCTGATGCACGTGATGCTCATGATGACTCATAAGGTAGGTGTATGATATTGTAAATGTGGAAAAGAGGCCCACAGGAGCCAGTGGCTTATAAAGTCACAGTCTATACTCGGGAGCAGAGCCGGCCCACACCCTCAGCTGTAAGCCAGCCTCTTTTCCCTTTACTAGACTGCTTCATCTACCTGGAGGCTAAGCCTTCACCTGCTTCACGGGCTCTTGCTTCTTTCCATCTCTCAAGGCTTAACTAAGCTTTTTTTTTTTTTTCTGAAATAATTCTACAGGTTGATGTTCTTAAGGCAACAGCGCTCCCTCTATTGAAACAGTTTGGGATTGATGGTGAATCGTTTGAGTTAAAGGTAAGAATGTACAATTGTTAGTGATGTATATCAGTGTGAAAGATTTTCTTACCAACTCGTTGGAAGAGCTATATGCCTCACGTGTGTGTGGCACATTTGCAGTCGCCATTTATTAGAAGACCCACAGGATTCATGAACCAAACATTGCAGACTTTGAGCTGAAAGGGACCCTTTAGTAATGACAGGAGTAGACAGCAGTTATACTGCACTTACTTCGTGGTAGGCGATGTTGTAAGCATTCTACATGTATTAACTCCTTGGCTCATAACAACTCAGCTAATAAGTAGTAGAGCCAGGATTCTGACCATGCTGCCTCTCTGATCTAGATCATTTATCTTAGTTTGTGTCCGGAGCCTCCCAACGTGAATGTCCCTGAGAATTTTTAGTACGTTACTTTCAAAACTTAGTCGAAGTAATTTAAGCATCTGTTTGTTTGCTATTTAAGGGAATTACATCAATCCAATGTGATAATGCTGGATATCTTAAGCTGTTTAGCATCTCTGTTTTTTAAAATGATGTTTTTAAACAAGGAAAATGACTTCATTTTTATTTAATAATGTAGAGTTTTGATAGAACAGTTAATTCCAGAGAAGGAGAAAAGGATTCCTGATGGTTAAGAAGTGGGATAAGCTGATGAACTAGGCCAGTCCCTCATTTTAAGGTTGAACAAACAGGTTCTGGTGGTGAAGTGACCTGTCTGGCTTTGACTGGGCCATGCAGGCTCTGTGTCCACTGCTCTTTCCGACATACCACACGGTCTCCTTGCTTAGCACATGCCCCCGTGGACCTAACATCAGGTGCTGTTCGTCTTGAAGGGATTGACAAGTTGTGTATGAAAGAGCTTGCTGCTTTCTAATGGTGGTTTTCATTCTTGGTGTAAACCAGCCAGGTTGGGTGTCATCCACTCTACTGAACCCTCACCTCTTCTTTCTCACTTGGTGCAGATTGTGCGACGGGGAATGCTCCCTGGAGGAGGAGGCGAAGTGTTTTTCTCATGTCCTGTAAGGAAGGTCCTGAAGCCCATTCAGCTCACAGATCCAGGAAAGATCAAACGTATCAGAGGAATGGCGTATCCTTTGCATTTGCTTCAGATTTCTTATTTTTTTCTTGCCTCCCTAAGATAAGAATAACTCATAACAATTTACTTCTTCCCAGGGTTATTTACATTTTAGACAACAATCTTGGAAAAGTCTTAACAATTAATTTATAATTATTGGCTGAGATAGGATATTTTATTACCTGCCTCACCATAACTAGATTGACTGATTGATTCATTCATTTTTTCAGTTAACACTTAAGCAGACAGCTCCAGTGTATGTGACACTATCCTGAGGGCTTCGATTTGGGGGCCACCAATGCATCGCAGTTCCTCCCTCAGAAGAGCTCATCGTCTGGTGAAGGAAACAAATATACAAACGCATAATTCTGCTATAATGTGTAAAGTGATATAGATGATGTGCAGTGGGTTGGGGGAGCTAAGAGTAAAGAGTAGCAAATTTGTCTGGAAGATGTGGGAGGAATGAATAATAATGAATAACCTCTGCCATTTATTAAGTGCTTACTCTGTGTGCACTATGATAATTTATATACTTTATTTTAATTTATTTTTTAAAAACCACTTTATTGAGGTGTGATTGACATACAAAAAGCTGTATTTATTTAATGTGTACAACTTGATGAGTTTGGAGATATGTATACACCTCTGAAACATCAACATGATCAGTGCCATAAACACATCTATCACCTCCAAAAGTTTCTTTTCACCCTCTTTATTATTTTACATTTTAAAAATTTTAATTGTTTTGTGATAAGAACACTTAACATAAGATCTACCCTTCTAGCAAATTTTAAAGTATAGAATACAGGCATTACAGTGTACAGTAGGTCTCTAGGACTTATTTAGGTTCCTCATATAAATGGGATCATGTAGTATTTGTTCTTCTTTGTCTGGTTTATTTCATTTAGCATAATGTCCTCCAGGTTCACCCATGTTGTCACAAAGGACAGCATTTCCTTTTTTAAGGGTGAATAATATTCCATTGCCTGCAAATATCACATTTTCTTTATCCATTTGTTTGTCAATGGACATGTAGGTTGCTTTCATGCCTTGGCTATTGTGAATGATGCTGAAAGGAATATGGAAATGTGTGTATATTTCTTTGAGATCCTGATTTCAATTCCTTTAGATATACATCCAGAAGTGGGATTGCTGGATCAAATGGTTAGTTCTATTTTTAATTTCTCAAGGAATCGCCATACTGTTTTCCATAGTGGCTACACTGACCTATATTCCCACTAACAGTATACAAGGATTCCCTTTTCTCACCAACACCTGTTATTTATTTATTTATTTATTTTTTGATAATAGCCATCCCAATGGGGTGAGGTGATATCTCAGTATGCTTTTGATTTGTAGTTCCCTGGTGATTAGTGATTGTTGAGTACCCTTCCATGTTCCTGTTGGCTATTTATATGTCTTTTTGGGAGAAATGTCTATTCAGGTCTTTTGCCCATTTTTAAAATTGGGTGGTTTGTTTATTTTGCTACTAAATTGTATGAGTGTCTTATATTTGGGTATTAATCATATATATGAATTTCAGACATTTTCTCTTATTACATAGGTTGCCTTTTCACTTTGTTGTTTCTTTTGCCTGTGTTTTGGTATTCAAGAAATCATTGCCAAAGCTAAAAATCTTCCCCACTATGTTTTCTTCTAGTTTTACAGTTTCAAGTCTTATGTTTGTCTTTAGTCCATTTTGAGTCCATCTTTGTATGTGGTGTAAGATGAGTCCAGTTTCATTCTTTTGCATGTAGGTATCCAGTTTTCCCTGGGAATATCCTTTCCCTATTGTGTGTTCTTGGCATCCTAGTTGAAGATCAGGTGACCAGATATGCGTAGGTTTATTTCTGGGCTCTCTGTTCTTTTCTGTTGGTCTATATGTCTGTTTTTATGCCAGTGACATGCTGTTTTGATTTCTGTAGTTTTGTAACATATTTTGAAATCAGGACCTGTGATGCCTCCAGCTTTATTCTTCTTACTCAAAATTGCTTTCGCTATTTGGAGTCCTTTTTGGTTCCTTGTAAATTTTAGGATTGTTTTTTCTATTTTTATTAAAAAGAACATTGGGATTTTGATAGGGATTGCATTGAATCTGCAGATTGCTTTGGAAAGTATGGATATTTTAACAGTAATTCTTCCAACCCATGAACATGGACTGTCTTTCCATTTAAAAAGTCTTTTAAAATGTCTTTCATCAGTGTCTTATAGTTTTTAGTGTATAAGTCTTTAGCTTCCTTGGTGAAGTTTATTCCTAAGTGTTTAGGTTTTTTTTAATGCTATTGTAAATAGAATTGTTTCCTTGATTTTCTTTGCAGGTAGTTTGTTGTTAGTGTGTAGAAATGCAACTGATTTTTGTATGTTGACTTTGTATCCTGCAACTTTATTGAATTCATTTATTAGTTCTAATAATTTTTTTTTTGATCCATTCTTTAGGGTTTCTACATATAAGATCATGTCATCTGCAAACAGATAATTTTACTTTTTCCTTTCCAGTTTGGATGCCTTTTCTTTCTTTTTCTTGGCTAATTACTCTGGCTAGGACTTCTAATACTGTGTTGAATAGGAGTGGCAAGAGTGGGCATCCTTGCTTTGTTCTAAATCTTACAGGAAAAACTTTCAGTTTTTCACCATTAAAGATGATGTTAGCTTTGGGCTTTTCATATATGGTCTTTATTGTGTTGAGGTAAGTTTCTTCCATGCTTAATTTGTTGAGAGTTTTTTTTTTTTTTTTTGCGGTATGCAGGCCTCTCACTGCTGTGGCCTCTCCCGTTGCGGAGCACAGGCTCCAGACACGCAGGCCCAGCAGCCATGGCTCACGGGCCCAGCCGCTCCGCGGCATGTGGGATCCTCCCGGACTGGGGCACGAACCCGTGTCCCCTGCATTGGCAAGCGGCGGACCCTCCACTGCGCCACCAGGGAAGCCCCTGTTGAGAGTTTTTATCATGAAAGAATGTTAAATTTTGTCAAATGCTTTTTCTGCAACTATTGAGACAATGATGTAATTCTTATCCTTCATTCTGTTAACGTGGTGTATCACATTGATTGATTTGCATTTGTTGAACCATTCTTGCATCCCAGGGATAAGTGCCAGTCCATCATGTTGTATGATCCTTTTAATGTGCTGTTGAATTCAGTTTGCTAATATTTGTTGAGGTTTTTTGCATCCATGTTCATCAGAGATGTTGGCCTATAGTTTTCTTTTCTTGCATTGTCTTTGTCTGGCTTTGGTGATGCTGGTCTTGCAAAATGAGTTTGGAAGTTTTTCGTGTTTGATTTTTTAGAAGTTGAAGGATTGATGTTAATTCTTCTTTAAATGTTTGGCAGAATTCACCAGTGGATTCATCTGCTGAAGCCATCTGGTCCTGGGCTTTTCTTTGTTGGGAATTTTTTGATTACTGATTTAGTCTCCTTACATGTAATTGGTCTGTTCAAGCTCTCTGTTCTTGATTCAGACTTGATAGGTATTAGGTTTATTCATTTCTTCTAGGTTGTCCAATTTGTTGGCATAATAGTCCCTTGTGATCTTTTTCAATTTCTGTGGCATCAGTTGTAATGTTTCCTTTCATTTCTGATTTTACTTATTTGAGTCTTCTCTTAGTCTAGCTAAAGGTTTGTCAATTTTGTTTATCTTTTCAAAAAATCAGCTGTTTTGTTGATTTTTTTCCTATCGTTTTTCTATTTTATTTATATCTACTCTGATCTTCTGCTAACTTTGAATGTGGTTTCTTCTTTTTCTAGTGTAAAGTTAGGCTGTTTATTTGAGATCCTCTTTTGTAGAAAGAATGTAAGCACTTATCACTATAAAATTCCTTCTTAGTATTCCTTTTGTTGCATTTCATAAATTTTGGTTTGTTCCATTTTCATTTGTCTCAAGATATGTTCTAATTTCCCTTTTTGATTTCTTTGACCCAATATTTGTTCAGAAACATGTTTCTAATTTTCATATATTTGAATTTTCCCATTTTCTTGCTGTTATTGATATCTAGTTTCATTCCATTGTGGTTGGAAAAGATACTTGGGGTGATTTCATCCTTCTTAAGTTTGTTGAGACTTTGTTTTGTGACCTACCTTGTGACCCTGGAGAATGTTCCATGTGTGCTTGAGAAGAATGTGTATTCTGCTACTGGTGGCTGGATGTTCTGTATATGTCTGTTGGTTCTCTTTGGTTTATAGTGTTCAAGTCTGCTGTTTCCTTACTGATTTTCTTTCTGGTTGTTCTATCCATTATTGAAAGTGGGGTACTGAAGTCTCTTATTATTGCATTGCTGTCTATTTCTCCATTCAGATTTGTGGATATTTTTTTTTTTTTCCTGTGGTATGCGGGCCTCTCACTGTTGTGGCCTCTCCCGTTGCGGAGCACAGGCTCCAGACGTGCAGACTCAGCGGCCATGGCTCACGGGCCCAGCCGCTGTGCGGCATGTGGGATCCTCCCAGACCGGGGCACGAACCCGCATCCCCTGCATCGGCAGGCGGACTCTCAACCACTGCGCCACTAGGGAAGCCCAAATTTGTGGATGTTTGCTTTATATACTTAGGTGGTCCGATGTTGAGTGCATATATTTATAACTGTTATATCTTCTGGTTCAATTGACCCTTTTACTGTTATATAATAACCTTTGTCTCTAGTGACTTTGAAGTCTTTTTTTGGCTTAAAGTCTATTTTGTTTGATATAAGTATAGTCACTCCTCCTCTCCTTTGGTTACCATTTGCATGGAATATCTTTTTCTGTGCCTTCACTTTCAGCCTGTTTGTGTCCTTATGTCAAAAGTGAGTCTCTTGTGGACAGCATATAGTTGGATCTTGTTTTATCCATTCAGCCACTCTATGTCTTTTGATTGTGGAGTTTAATACATTTATATTTTATATACTTTATTCTTAAGCCTCAAAGTGAGTTTGAATTCTCTTATATCCTGTTTTGTAGATGGGGAAACTGAGGCTTCAAAAGGAATTTGCTCCCACGTCACATTGCTAGTAATGGTAGAGCTGGGATTTGAACCCTGTCTCTGTT